AGTGTGTGTGGTGTGTCTGTTGTGTGTGTGTGTGTGGTGTGTATGTTGTGTGTGTGTGTGTGTGTGGTGTGTATGTTGTGTGTGTGTTTGTGTGGTGTGTGTGTGTGTTGTGTGTGTGATTGTGTGATTATTTGATCCGGTTAAGAAAAACTTCACTAATTATTTTTGAGCAATTCATTAGGATTATGGAGATATAAAAACGTTTTGTGGAAAACTTATTCACGCCCTAACAACAAACAAAAAATCTTTCCACCTAAGGTGAAGCTTAGCGGGCAGTGTAACCGTCTCTCTGCTATCATGTATCTCGGTGCTTTCTCATTACTTATTCTAATTTTGCTTTGGAAACTTTCATGCGTTTAAACATTTGATTGTAGGTTTGAAATAAAAGGAATTATTTAGCCAGACGTTTGATTATTCAAAAAGTCATTGTTCAGTGTTGACTTTAATAACGAGTAGTTTGCTAGAGCAAAGATGAATGAAGATTGTTCATTTGACTGGTAACATGTCACACGTGTTGTTCTACATGTTTGTATGTACTGAGCAGTCACGTGTTGGCGTGACAACTATTTGCTAAGGTGCTTTTATTTTGCATCAAGTAACTATAAATTTGTTAATATTTTTACAAAACAACAATGATAATAATTTTTAATAATGAAGATGATGCTTATGGTGATGAAGAAGAATGAGATGATGATATTAATGATGTATGTGATGACGACGACACCAATGATGACACGGAAGAAAATGTTCATAACATTTTTCCCAGCATCCCATGTTTCTCCTGTCAAAAAATACTCTTCCATTCTTCAGATATTAATTTCCATCAGCACATGCTGTTATTTTTAAGTTTTTTTTCTAATTAAAATTCCACCAACAAACAATTCATCAGACTAAAATCCACACTGAGTGGTTTCTATTTTAATTTCAAATTACTGCAAAACTAATTAAAAATTATTTTTATGAATAATATAAAGAAAAAGTAAATTTAATTTAATTTCAGCCAAACTCTTAATTAAACTTGAATGAAGGGTTGAGCTTTAGAAATGCATGCAACGTTCTCACTATGTGTTTCAACTGTTTCATTCTGGATGGCAGATTTTTAATTTCGATTGTTAATTGAGAAAATATTTTGTAGAGACATTTTAAAGTTCCGAAACTTTTTTGATCTCATTAAGAATAAATTTTTCAGAATCAAATTTTATAAATTGTGACAAAAATATGTTGAAATAAAATCAAAATTTGAAAAAACAGCAAGAATATTTACTGATGTAGTTTGACTTTAATTCATTCATTCAAACATTTGACGCTCTGCTGAACTGATAGCATTTATTTCTAATCAAGCGAGTCTCCGTTGATTTATATGACTCAACTCCAGTTGTTGATGTTATAACGATATGCAACGCCACAACATCAAATTAAATCGCATTACATCACATTACATCATATGTTACATTACATACAATACATCCCTTATTACACTACATTACATTACAACACATTACATCACATTACAACAAACACACACATACATACAATTCTATATGAAAACAAACAACGCACACACAAACACACACACACCAAACACATACAGACAGTCCGACTGAGGTGAAGATTGGTACATACATCAACAGTTTCTACTCCATCAGTGAGCAAACCATGGTTAGCTCGGTTATTTCCAAATTTATTTCAACCCTAGTATGAAAAAATTCTTGAATATATACATTAAACTTATTTTTAACCATTTCTTTTTAAATATTTTTCTATAACACAGTTCTTAACACATTTTATTAATGCGCTATTTCAATGTTTGAGATTATTTTGTCGTTATTCATGGACAAAAATCAGATATTCATATATTTTCAATTCAAACTGACGTAGCTATGACGCTGATGTTTGTCTATTTATATTCATAATTTGTTGAAATAGAAGCGATATTAATGATTATATTTGATGTGTGTTGCTCATTTTTTCTTCAAGTGATCAATCTTTTTTTATTTGTTTTTTCGTCTAATTAACATTTACCCTTCATATGTTTTGAATTAATTAACATTTACACACTATACGTTTTGAATTAATTAACATTTACACTTCATATGTTTATAATTAATTAACATTTACACTTCATATGTTTATTCATCTGCCCAGCTCGACTGGACTGGACAATCAATCATTCATTCATTCATTCGTCACATCAACTCCTTCACTCAACACTTCCCGTGTTCATTCATTCATTCATTCGTTAATTTTTCATTCGTTCTTTCGATTTTTTGCATTTGATTTCTATTTACATCAACAACAATAACAACGACGACGAAACGTCACAAGAACGTTATTGCAGGACAACAAAACACAGCAACATCACTACAACGCAACAGCAAAAACAACAACAACACATCAATTCTTTTAATGTTTAAAGGACATTTAATAGCAGACATGGTCGAACTGAAGTTAGACAGTCTGCCTCGCCTTTATCTGTCAATCAATGACGTACTTAACTCTCCCTACAACAACAACAACAACAACAACAACAACAACAACAACAACAACCACAACAATCATAGAAAGAAAATTCATTCAGACAATAGCAACGTAAGACCTCTTAAATGAATGTCAAAATAATCAAATTAAAATAAATAAAAATCAAATAATTATAAAATTATAAAGTAATTAAAAAATATCGCAACAACAAACAGTAACAAATACAACAACTGAATAAACAAGACAACAGCACATGTAACAATCAGGATTCATTCCACATCAAACAAATACAACGATTACAACAAAAAACACAGAAATAGCTCTAAATAAAAATAAGTCTAAAATCTAACCAAGCTGTATGTATATCAGACATTAGAATGAGGCATAAAGAATTATAATGAATTAAAAGTGAATAATACACACGACGAATCTAACGCTGCAAATAAAATTAAGATAACATGACATGTAACACGCAGAGACATTTGCCATGTTTTTGTTGAATTTTTTGATAGAACAAAAAAAAAATCGTCATTAATTTTGAATTTTGTGTTAATAATAATAAAAATATTTTAAAAATAATACAGAAATATTGGTTTATTGCTGATAATAGACATTTAATTGTAATAGAAAACTCTGAAAAATCATTGTATATATACATGTACAAGCTCAAACATGTAAGAGAATAATTAATAACGACAACAGACTTATCAAAGTACCTCGTACAAACAGTAGAACACAGCATTAAAAAACACAACACAGCAACAAAAAACATCTACAACAACACAAAACATCGACAGTAAACATAAACAAATGAAAAATAAAACAATAAACAAACAACTATATCAACAACAATCCTGTACCATGTTGGATTAACCTAAGGAGACTTCATTACTCTAAACAACAACCCTCAAAACAACAATCACCCAATCGGCATCTTCCCAGACATGGAACCACCCAAACAAAAATTGCAACGGCCACAACACTAACAGTAACCACAACACTTGCAACAGCCACAACAGCCACAACAGCCACAACAGCCACAACAGCAGTTACCACAGCAGCAGCAGCAGACACAAAAAAACCTGAAAATATATTGTCAATATCAACGACGCCGACATAAATAGCTTCGGAATAATATAAATAAATATATGCTGCCAACATTAAGACTGATACAGATGAATGAATAGAGAGACAACAAAAAATGAACAAGCAAAAAATAAATAGATAAACAAACATACACACACATACATACATGCATCCAAGCATACACACACACACATACACACACACAACACACACACACACACATACAGGCATACATACATACATAAATACATACGAAACGAAACGAAATGAAACATATATACATACATGCATGCATTCATTCATATATACGTAGATACATACATACAAACAAATAAACGAATGAATGAATGTAAAAACAAATAAATTTATAAATGAATGAATATAAACAAACTTAAGGAAATAAATTACTAAAGAAATAATCTAAGAAGAGGTGCAGTTATAAAAAGATTGCGGATATTAATTCATAAGATAACAGCAGATAATCAAATCAACGCGAAAGCTTCTTCTAGGATTTTTAGAATTAATACATTTGCACAAGAACTTCAAAAATCTAACAAAAACAAAATCTCATAACGCAAAACAAAAGATACAAAATAGACAATAATAACAAGAACCACATCAGAGAAACAATGAATAAAATAATTACACCAAATAAACAATTGATGAAAAAATAAAAAAAAAACAAGCATAAAAACAAAGACAACAAATAGCAACTCCACGGTAGGAGACAACAAAATTAATGACGTCATCATAGCAAGTCAGTCTATCAAAATGTGAATAATTAACGAATTCGTCGTCATCATTGCCACCGTCATCATCATCATTACGTCATCGTGATATAATTCTTATAATTATCGTTATGTCATCAATACATTGTCGGGAACATCATTTTTGTCAAACATCGTCACACTTAGGGTCATCTTATCGGTTTATATTTCTGTGGAGTTTCATTCCACTCAATTATATTGGTGTACTTTCACATATCTGCATTCATCTCATCAGTGTCCTCGTTTTGTACCTGCCGTTGTTTTAATTTCGCAACTTTTCCAACTAGTTCATCTTCATTATACCGTTGGATCACTCCACTAAGGTCTAAGTCATTTGTTTTTCCACTATTTATTCATTGTTGGTTACTTCTGTTCCACCTTTGTTTTGTTTTAATCGTCACTAAAGCACCATCTCCTTCCTCAATTACCAGCAGTTTCATTGCCATCACAAACAACACCATCATCACTCACTAACATGATCATTAACTTCATTAACATCATCATCAACATCATTGACATCATCATCATCACAATCATTAACATCATCACGATCATCACACACAAACATCATCATCACCATCATTAACATCATCACCATCATCATTAACATCATCACATTATCATCATCATCACAACCATTAACATCATCATCATCATCATCATAATCAC